ATATACTCTCTCATAACATCAACAACATCTACAGTAGCCACACAAAAACAACAACACCAACAACAACAACACCAACAACAACAGCAACAACAACAACAACAGCAACAACAACAACAGCAACAGCAACAACAACAACAACAGCACAACAACGACAACAACGACAACAACAACAACAGAAATAACAACACCAACACCAACAACAACAGAAACAACAACAACAACAACAGGTGATTATAAACGTTGTTGATTTGAACGATAACGCCCCATTCTTCGACAAATCAGAAGTTCGATTGAACATTACCGAATCAGAAATCGTCGGCAAGAAGTTCTCTTTAGCTCGATGTTACGACTACGACAGCCCTGCCAATGGTGTCAAAGGGTTCTCTTTGGTACCAGACACTGGAGAGTTCGCGATATATCAAACTATTTTCAGTCGGGGTTTTTGTTTGTGAACTAAGGCAAAAATAATTGTGATAAGTCATTAGCATTAACTAATTAAATGGTTTATTGGTCATGATTCATTCATTCATCGAGTCATTCATACATTCGCTCACTCATTCATTCACTCACTCACTCATTCATCTATTCATTTATTTATTCATTCATTCATTCGTTCGTTCATTCATTCATTCATTCATTCATCCATCCATCCATCCATCCATCCATTCATTCATTCATTCATTCATTCATTTATCCATTCATTCATTCATTCATTCATTCAGGCGAATCTCATGCAGACGTCTATCTGGTTATAAGAAAGTCGCTGGATCGGGAAACAACTGCAGAGTACACACTGACGCTAACCGCAACGTCCAATCATATCGAGCGTCCTCGAAGCAACGACCACAACGACGATGACGTCATCAACACCCACAACAACAACAACGACTACAACAACTACAACTACAACAACAACAGCAGCGCAACAACGACATCAACATCATCGGATAGAAGAAATTTGAAGATGTACATAAACGTAGTAGATGTTAATGATAACATACCGATATTCGAAGAGGACGAGTACCGGTACACGGTTTCGGAAAACGTCGAAATCGGTACGAGAGTTTTGAGTGTTGTTGCTAAAGATTTGGACCTTGGTGTAAATGGCCAGGTTATTTATGGCTTAGAAAAAAATTTAAATAACGCAAATTATAAAAACAGCAACAACAACAACAACAACTATGCTGATAGCGACGACAACAATAGTAACAATGAAGAGGAAGAGGATTGGGACGTGTGGGAGTATGACGAACCCGGCGGTCCGGTATTTCGAATCGATCCAAATACCGGTTCTATAACGACAGTCGGTATTTTGGATCGGGAAGAGAGGGAGGAGCATGTTCTGAAGGTATCGGCTCGGGATGCTCAGAGTGCAAAATCAAAATCGACGACAGTGGTGAAAATATCGGTGGGTGATGTGAACGATAACAGACCGCAGTTCCAGCTTAAGAGCACTCTCCTGCGAGTGAACGAGAACACCAAACTAAAAACTCTCCTCACGTACTTCACCGTGAAAGATGCAGACGTCTCCGTAAATACAAAGCTCAACTGCTCGACCGACAGTTCGGTATTTAGCCTTCAGTCGGTTTTCCCGACAAAGTTTCAACTAGTTACATCGGATGTAATTGACCGAGAGATCACACCGACTTATGAGGTGAAGCTGTCGTGTGACGATGGTGGTCATCCGCCTCTCACTGGTCAAGTGACCATCAATATATCGGTCAACGACGAAAATGATAACAAACCGATATTCGAGAATCGAAATTTATTTGCAAGAATCCAAGAAAATGCCATTCCTGAATCTGCATTGTTCACCGTGCAAGCCAGCGACGCCGATGAAGGAGAGAATAGTCAGGTGAGTTACGGTCTGTCGGTATTTGAGTACAGCTATTCGAATACCGGTAGAACCGGTTATCGAAACTCGAAAGTTTTGTACTGTGGAGATGATGATGACCCCCGCGACGATGGTGATGATGTTAATGGCGGGGTAGCTTCAAATGATTACAACAACAACATCAACTACATGAGTAACGCGTACGGCAATCACATCAACAACAACATCATCATCAACAAAAACATCAACAACAACATCAACAACAACAACAACATCATCAACAACAACAACATCAACAACGACAACATCAACAACGACAACATCAACAACAACAACAACATCAACAACAACGACATCTTCGACATTTCGTCACATTTGACGATAAATGAAAAGACGGGTGCCGTATTTGTCTCGAAAAGTTTCGATCGGGAGAAAATTGCCAAATTATGTTTTCTCATAGTCGCGTACGATCACGGATTTCCGGTACAATCTTCGTCCGTGGAAGCCATTTTGGTTATTGATGACTTAGATGACGAGGTGCGTTCGTTCGTTTATTTCTTTGTCATCCTTGTTGTTTCTTATCCTTTAACTTTTTGTATCTTTTATTCTTAATTGTGGTTTTATCGCCCTGTATAAAAATCCAACATCAACATTGTGGTAGATGACAACAGACGTCAGCATAGATACAAAAACATACAAAAACATAGATACAAAAAAGTAGGTACAAAAACATAGATACAAAAACATACATAAACATAGATACAAAAACATACAAAAACATAGATACAAAAACATACAAACACATAGATACAAAAACATAGATACAAAAACATAAAAAACATAGATACAAAAACATACAAAAGCTATAAAAACATAAAGACCAGCGTAGATACAAGAATGTGGCGAGGTTGTATTTTTTAATCAGTTCAAATTAAACAATAAATCAACTTGTCCTAGCAGCCACATAAATCAAAAACACTAAATACTTATGGAAAAATTTTATGGAAGTCTTGTTGTATTTTGTTTTTTGTTTGTTTATGTTTATTGTTCATTTTAAATTTAGTGTGTTTTTTGCTTAAGATGAGGCTTTCCATTGTTGTTTGTGTTGTTTTTTTACGTTGTTTAAGTTCTTTTTTTTATTATTTTGGTTTTGCTATTTCGTCTATGTTTATTGCAGCGCTTAATGTTTATCGCTTTGTTTATAAAATTGTTTATTTATTGCACAGTTCGCCTCATACTGTTTCTCCGCGTTTACAACTTGATTTACAAGGTGTGATGATGACGATGATGATGACGATGATGATGACGACGACGATTATGATGACATTGTTGTTATTATAATTACCCCAATAAGAATCATCATCGTCATCACTACCACCATCGTCTTCATCATCATCATCATAATTATCACCACCATCATCATCAACAGCATCCAACTTTTGAAAGCCAAATTTATCAGTTCAGCCTGTTGGAAAATTTGAACCCTGGCGCAAGCGTTGGAAAGGTTCGTGTCCGTCATAATATTTATTATTATAATTATTATTATAATAATTATAATTAATTATGATTATAACTATAATTAAAATTATAACTATAATTATTAAAATTATAACTATAATTAATATTATTATGATCACTATTTTAGTGATTATTATTATCATTGTAGTTTTGTTATAGCTGTTATTGGGCTGGTAATATTTAAAGATCTATATAATAGATGCGAGTATGGGATACCTGCTTCGATCGTTCGTACATTCCTTCATTCATTCATTCACTCACTCATTCACTCATTTCTTTATTTAATGTTCCATTCAATAATGCAACCTTTCAATCGCTCATGTTTTAAAAGAAGTTTCATTTGTAACACATTTGTTAATTATTTTAATAAGTTATTTTAGCTTTCATTCTTTTAGACAGTCATCATTGGCTCGTTCGTTCATTCGTTCATTTATTCGTTCTTTCGTTCATTCATTCATTCATTCATCCATTTATTCATTCATTCATTCATTTATTCAATTTTTAATGATCCATTCATTCAATTTAATTATACATTTACATATTTGTTAAGATCAAAAAATACATGCGTCTGTATTTAAATGAATGTATGTATGAATGTATACATGTTTGTTTGTTTGTTTGTTTGTTTGTTTGTATGTTTGTATGTATGTATGTATGTATGTATATATGTATATATGTATGTATGTATTTGTTTGTAAAATTTTTAATCAGTGTTAGTGCTTCTTAGAACATTTATTTCTTTGGTTTCAACTCCATGGCTAATTAATATTAGTATCCGTTGTTGAAAATATGCTTTGTAAGTATTTTAGTTTGCATGCGTGTGTGTATGTGTGTGTGTGTATGTATGTGTGTGTGTATGTATGTGTGTGTGTATGTATGTATGTGTGTGTTTGCTTGTATGCATGTCTGTCTGTCTGACTGTCTGTCTGGCTGTTTGTTAATCAAACAGGGCGAACTTTTTTCTGTTTTTGATGTTGATGCACTTATTTGATTGTATTTTTTTGTGGGTTTGTATGTATGCGTGTGTGTGTGTATGTGTGTGCGTGTGCTGTGTGTTTGCGTGTGTGTGTATGTATGTATGTACGTTTCTTCAATTTGAAATATTTATGTCTCTTTGGTTATACTTTTATCAATCAGTTTTATGAAATTATATAGGTAAATAGATGGGTGTGTCTATGTATGCGTGTGTGTGCGTGTGTGTGTGTGTGCGTGTGTGTGTGTGTGCGTGTGTGTGTGTGTGCGTGTGTGTATTTATGTATTTATGTATGTGTGTGGTTGAATACAATATCTGCCGGCTTTTCCTGGTAAACTCTTAGATGAATTTATTATTTTTATCTTTTGCATCCATTTCTTAGCTCTGTTGTTGCGGATGTTGTTGTTGTTGTTGCTGTTGTTGCTGATGTTGTTGTTGTTTTTGTTTATTTACATTAGGATGATGCTCTTAGCAAAATTGACAATATGTTATGAGGACTTCGGCTGTTGTTGTTGTTGTTATTGTTAATAATAATAATAATAATACTGTTGTTGTTAATATTATTAGGTGACGGCTCATGACGCAGATAGCAACCCCCAATTCAATGGCTTCTACTACGCCATGCCTCAGTCGTCACATGACTTCCGGCTCGACCCGGAAACAGGAAATATATCATCTTTAATATCTTTCGACCGCGAAACGACGGAAGTTTACTTCTTTGACGTCACAGCCTGTACCAAAGATACGAATAATTGCACGTCCAGCGCCCACGTGATCGTAAACATCGTTGATGATAATGATAACGCTCCTAGGCTTATATTTCCGGATGAGTTTTCTAATTTTAGTATCTTTGTTCCGTGCTTCTTCCGGCAGGGAGACAAAGTTTCTAAAATTAGAGCGCACGACGCCGACGACATTGGACCAAATTCCAAAATAACTTACACATCCCTAGACTTTAAACACTTTCGCCTCAATGATACTTCCGGTTTGATGACCGCAACAAAAGATATTCTAGCGGAAGACGGCAGCATTTTAGATTATCCGGTTCTAATTCAAGATGGCGGACGACCGAGTAAGAGCATTCGAGTTATGATTATGATCATTTTTAATTCATCAGCCTCAGCGTTTGTTGACGTGAAAGAAGATGGTGGTGGTGATGCTGATGATGATGAGGCATTGTTCGAGAGCAGGAGAGGACTGAGTAACATGCACACCATCATCTTCATCACCGTCCTGTCCACCATCTTGTCCGCCATTTTGATCATCGCCATTTTGTTTCTAGCTAAAGGTCAGCCGTTTCCGGTTCATTTCACTTCCGGCATTGTTGATGACGTCAACGGAAGAGCGGCCGCTAAAAAGAGATGCGACAAAAAGAAGAAGAAGAATAAGATTAAAATTGAAAAAGTTAATAAATCTCGAAAAAATAATGCTACTACTGCAACTTCTAACTTGGCAAATGGCATTACCAACGCCAATAATCATATGACCAGTAGTAATAACAACAACAATAATAATAATAAAAATAATAATAATAATTATATAGCGCAAACAAAATTATTATTATCATCCTCATCGTCACCACCACCAACCGCAGACACAACCATAGAATCATACAACAACAACAACAACAACGCCATCAACAACATCAACAACAACAACAACTACAAAGACAGCATCAACAACTGCAGCGTTTTAATTAAAAAAAACAACTACAACAACAGCAACAACAACATAAACAACATCAACAACGCCATCAACAATATCAGCATTCCTGATATGAAAGACATTAATTACAACAACAAAATGGCCCACCTGCAAGGTAAGTGCTGCCATAAAAACATCAACAACAACAACAACAACAACGTCAACAACATCAACAACAACAACATTGTTACTGATGATGATACCGACTCGAATATCCAACTAATCGTAACTCGTAAACTGACACCGGTTAGTTTTAGAAATTTCCTGATTGCAAAGATGATGATGATGATTTTGTTGTTGTTGATGATGATAATGATTTTGTTGTTGCTGTTATTAATGATGATTATGTTGTTGTTGTTAAGCATGATGATGATGATTTTGTTGTTGTTGTTGATGAAGAAGTAGGCGATAATGACGATTTCGAGCGCGATGGTAATGTTCAGTTAATTCACGATGATGTTGAAAACATTCAACAGATTCTTATCCAATCAAATCGCGCCACACCAATGACGTCATCATCAAATGAGTTCAACTTTCCTAGTCAGCCACAGCAGCATCTGCAGACGCAGCAGCTACAACATAATAATCATCTTTTTCTCCATCAAAAACAACGCCATCATCATTCTCTTCCTCACCATCATCGTCATCAACAACAACAACATCAACAACAACATCAGCAGCAGCAACAACATCAAATTTTGTACCCATTAACATTCGGAAAATTCGCCAAAGATGATGATGATGATGTTGTTGGTGGTCATGATGATGATTTCATTAATGATGATAATGGTGATGATGATAATGGTGTTGGAGACGGATTGAATAGAAGGTTAAAGTTGAACGAGTTCTGCGATAGCCCTGATGTACTAGGTGATGTTGTTGTTGTTGTTGTGATGTTGTTGTTGTTGTGA